CCGTGTTCTCTTATGCTTGATGTACTAGTTTTGTTTCTATCTGCCTCCATCAAAGAAATCAATGCTCAAATTTGTTATTGTAATCTACATGTTGTGACCTTATTGTCGTCATTTATAAGTCACTTATCATTTGATGACATATCTTCATATAATAGGGGATCCTCATCATTCTTCAAACCCTTTCTTTTTAAATTTTTATTCTTTAATATCTTGTTGTACATGATATACTCCAATGAATTCATTCTTCAAATTGTTAGATGATTCCTCCTTTTTATGTAAACTTAATTATTTATGATCTAATTGTGCTGAAGAGCATTCTAGTCGTAATTTTTTAACAGGAATTTTGTAGCTATGTTGTACCATCACCAAATTGAATCCATCATTAAACCATATTTAAAAGAAAACAATATAATTAGACCTTAAATCTTTATTCCTTATTTTAATTAACATATTAAATATTAAAATTTCAACAATATTTTTTAGCTTGTTGTAGTTCAAAGAAACTTGCCTTATTTCTAAATAGTCAAGCTGTATTTTTATAGCTGGTCTCTCAATTTGGTCAATAATAATCTGTCCATATAATAGTATAGCCCCAACTTGATCTCATGATTGATAAACTTGTCTTAGCATATTGAAATTGAGTGTTGAAGAAATATCTTGCAACATGCAAATGACGGTGGAGCTGAAGCTCCCATTTCTCGTCGACTATATCCCAAAGTTTTAATCTCTTTTACTCTTAAGTTATGGGCTATTAACTTTGTAGTTTCATCCATTGCATTAAATAAACTATGGCCTTTTTCTTTATCCACCATCTTCAAAATTTGGACAAATGGCCTTATTATTATTATTGAATTTATTATATTAGACCAAACTTTTTTATTCAAAATAAAAATTTTAACTTTTTTTTCCTTTTATTTCTTTGCCCATACATTACTAAACTATTGAGTGGATTGTTTTCCATGGTTGCCTAATTTCCAACATTTTTGTAAAGTCAAACAGGCTGTAACAAATCTTATAGCAATAGGCTGTAGAGGTTCTTCTTTAGAAAAATTTCTCATCAAAGACATTCTCGAGAAAAATTGCAGTGTGCGATAAAGGTTATCTAGTATATGTTTTCTCGTCTTTATTGCATATAATCTAGCATTATTTGTTATAAATTTGGCCATTCAATGTTGTCAAATCTCTTCTATCACTCTATCAAATAGTCCAAAAATATGCTTTACATCATTAGCTTGATTAGATGCTTCTAGAGATTTTATAAAAGTTATGCCATAATGATTTATTAAAACAATAATTAAACTTCAGTTCTTTAAATTTGACAACAAAAGTGATTGTCACTCCAACCCGATTCTAGTTTTTTTTTTAATTTCTTTCATGCTTTTCTCTATATTACTCGGCTCCCTCAAACCCCATGTCCTCAAATCATACATGAATAGGAGTTTAGAGCCTCGACCTTAAGCACTTATTAAATGGATCATACTAAAGTAATAAGGGGAGCATTCACATTAAATGAAAGGATGTTCTCATAGAAAATCTCCTACTATCCATGTAGAGGTGTTTGAATGCCATCTCGAACATAGTTTAGAGACATCTTTTGAGCTATAACACCCTTTTTTGTCCCATATTTTTAAAATTTGTAAATATTTGTATACGTTCAAATTTGTTTGAATTTTGAAATAAATTTTCATTCTATAATTTTATAAGAAATGGTTAGAGATAAGAAGTAATTCACTATGAATTATTATAAGGATTCAATATAGAAATACAGTGTGCAAGTTGACATGGAAAGCAAGAATAAAATATATATTTATTAGAAATACAATTATTATGAAAATTTAGTTAAAAAAGGTGTTACATTACAAGGATGAAGGAACACCTCTAAAATTCACATGAAAATTTTGCACTGTGCACTGAAGTGCTAGAAACAATGAAAGCGGAGATCCAACTATTTATGAATAAATCGGCGATGTCAAAAAATATTTTGCACAACAACATGATGATAGAACTAATATCAGCTTTTCCTATAGTAATGAGCACAGTGCCAATGACACATCATCCTTGCAATCAATATTTAGTAAAGATTCACGAGATCCCCTAAATCATTATATGATAAATATAGAAAATTTTAAAAATAGGGTTAAGAGTGATATAAAATTTAAAATTTTATTGTACTTGGAAGAAGACTATTTGGTGAGAGGCCGGGTGGGAGTGATGACAACAATGGCTATGAAAATAGCATGCGGGTGGCTCAAGATGCAGCATGCAACGGTGGCAATGATGCAAGCAACTCGTGGTGGCGATAATGTTGAGGATGATTGACCCATGTTTATGAGATCAAATCTTGTGTTGCAAGGGGTGGAGGAGGGCGACAATGGCAGCAGGATTATGTGACAGCGATGGCGACAACGACACTGGAATGGCTGACTAGGATGTTATTGTGAGAGAGGAGAGGGGAGATGTTACATGTGAGCGTGCAAGCTGAGTGTGGGTTGCAGCTCTAGGCTAATGTGTCGCACCATCTAATGTAAGGAAAAAAAACCTATACATGAATTAGGCACATGATTCAATCTAATTGAGGTGAGGCTTGAAGCGCTACTCACTAAATGTGAGACGTACTCCTTGCTTGCCCTGCTCGAGGCGTGCACTTCAATGTGATTTTGGGCTCAATTGCGAAGCATATTTCAAATTGCACAATTTTAAATAGTGTTATTACCAAAGTATTTTTTGATATATTCATCTTCAAATAAGATTTTTTTTGCTTTTAATGCGTTCAATTTAACTTCGACTTACCATATAAATTTTTAAATTGTATGGCTTCTGCACATCATATTTTTTTTTCACTTTTATCTTTTATATAATCATTATGAACCTCAATAGCAATTAATTTTGATCACTTTTTGTAAAAGCAAATTTATTATTTTAATAATATTTTATACCTCCACCACTGTCTACACACTATTGCACAAGCAATTTTTTGACTTTTCTAGACTTTTATAATAATACTTTTAATGGGACTAGCCATTTTATCTTGCATTGAGTTTGGCTCTACTCTGTATTGTTATTGTAAGAAATGCACTATAGGAGTGAAGCGCAAGTTCAAAACAAAGTGTACATGTCGAATTGTTTTGTTGTTTTGTTGTAGCATTATGTGTTTGCCTTACATAGAAGAAAAAATTAATTCAAATTTTTTGGTTCATTCAACATTGATCACAATAATTAGGTGCAAATGTTTGCTTTTTATTGTTTCTCATAATCATTGAATTATTGCCCATTGGTTCTCCGTTTTGTGCTTTTGTCCCACTAAAGCTAGTCACTTTTATTGATTCTCTTCACAGTTACACCCCTTTTAATTTTTATATGATTGTCACCATTTCTTGTTGTTTATTCTAGTTGCTTCTTATTAAGGATGCATCTTAGTGCATCATATTCATACTCTCTTTTGGCATACATTGCCTTCGCCTCTTGATCTTTAGTTTCTTAATTTTACGAATATATTCTTGAATTTTAAGTATAATATTGCACTTTTTATCTATATTATATATATATTTGATTCTATTTTGACTTTTAATTAGTTGAAATCATTGTCATTACACATACATTATATTTGATGAGAAACTATGTTCTAATGTTGTTGGATTTGATCTGGTTAATTAAATGATTATTATATATATATATATATATGATATGCAAATCATGAAGACTTTGGTTAATGCACCACCACTTTTTGTGCACCATTGCACATCACATGGTGCTCTACATTTTGAAAATGCTGCTCTAGCTTTTGTATAATTATTATAAGCCTCAACAATATTTATTTTTTTCTATTCTTGGAAGCAAAGTTTTTTTTAAAGAATATTTTTTACCTCATCACTTCACCACTAAGTTTCCTTATTAACAAAAGAGCACTAATTCCTAGGCTTTCTTAAAATTTTAATGACAATCTTAATAAAACTAGCCTTCTTAACTTAAATTGCAAAGTGCCAAAATATTCTCACAATTGTTTGCATAGGGTAATTTTATACTCAGTCTATAAAAGTGTAAATTTAGTCCCCAAACTTTTTTAAGATGAGCTGAAATAGTTCCAATTTTAAGAGTATGGGCACTAATTTGACGCTTCTATAAATTCTGAGACTAAAATGGCTCTCTGAGAAAAGTTAGGGGTCTACCCTTTCTCTTAATTTAAATAAAGTTTGGCTCCACTAGTGAGTTTCAATTTTCCTCCCTCAATAATTTATCTTTAAAGATCAATAATTTGTCACTTTTTAAGTTCAACTTCTTTGTTCTAGGGCAATTATTATTTTTGGTTTATGCTCTTTATGCTCTTAAATTATACATCTACAATTATTACTCTTTCTTGTGATCAAATTCTACCTTAGAATTATCATACCCTTATAAAACGGTTTTTTATTTGTTCCAAGTTAAATTAGTCTATTAATGATTTGATGACATTACTATATTAGTCGTTAGACTGGTTCAAGAAATCTGATCTATAGTAGGATACTAAGTCTTATACCTCCTAAAAATCTAACATTATATTTCTTTTACATTTCATCACTGCATGCACTCAGTGCTATGTTTTTCTCTACCTTATCTTTTCGAGACTGTCGGTTTATAGGCACTGATTTGCAAATAGGAAGTTTAATATCTCATACAACACTGAGGAGGAATGATGAAAAATGAGTATTCTAAAGCTAACTCTAAATAATGGATATAAGTTTAAATTTAATGTAAATGCAATCACTATGGCTTTTACTATTGTGCTATTCGATTGCTTCCATGAGCCTTTTAGCATGTAGATCATCAACAGCACTCAGAGTAAACACGGTTATTTAATTGTCATCAATATGTTTTGTATGGTACGAATCATTAGCAATAGCTGATCACTTAATCCATTATGGTACTTGCAGCGAGAGTTCATACTTCGTACATTTATTGGCTGTTGTTTTCTAACTGCAAGGATAAACTTCATGTGTGCTTAAATGCTATTTTCTTATTGACAGGTGACATTCATGGGCAGTATTCTGATCTTCTCCGATTATTTGAATACGGTGGACTCCCCCCACAAGCTAACTATTTGTTTCTTGGTGACTATGTTGATCGTGGCAAGCAGAGCATTGAAACTATATGCCTTCTTCTGGCGTACAAGATAAAATATCCAGAGAACTTCTTTCTTCTGAGAGGAAACCATGAGTGTGCATCCATCAACCGTATATATGGTTTCTATGATGAGTGCAAGAGAAGGTTTAATGTTAGACTTTGGAAGGTTTTTACTGATTGTTTTAATTGCCTCCCAGTTGCTGCTCTTATCGATGAGAAGATTTTGTGCATGCATGGAGGCTTATCTCCTGAACTGAGAAACTTGGATCAGATCCGTAGTCTTACTCGTCCGGCAGATGTCCCTGACCAAGGCCTTCTTTGCGACCTACTATGGTCTGATCCTGATAAAGATATTGAAGGCTGGGGAGAGAATGATAGAGGAGTATCTTATACGTTTGGGCCTGACAAAGTGGGCGAATTTCTTCAAAAGCATGACTTGGACCTTATCTGCCGTGCTCACCAGGTAAGAGGACTTGGGACTTGAAGGTCTACAAGATTACATACTTCTTCTATAGCATCACCCCTCGGTGATTGTAACTTAAAAATTCAGTAGAATAAAACTACAACTTCAATAAAATGTTATCATGTTCATATAACATATCATAATAATAGAAGATAACATTAGTTTATATATATAGCTACATCAGTTATCATGCAACAAAATATATTGACTTTAGTAGAGCATTATGATGAGCAAAATTTGGTTTGTATGGCACAGTAGCATGAACAAAAAATCATTTCTTATTTTTTTTCCTTATTTTCCTTCTTGTTAAGTTCTCTTGCTGAATTTGTTCAAGTTCATGGTTGAAGCTGTTCCTCTTGTCATTCATTTTTTTCCTTTTTGAAGGTTGTGGAAGATGGCTATGAGTTTTTTGCAAATCGACAGCTGGTGACAATATTTTCTGCACCCAACTATTGTGGGGAATTTGACAATGCTGGTGCTATGATGAGTGTGGATGACACTTTGACTTGTTCGTTTCAGATTCTGAAACCATCGGATAAAAAAGGAAAATTTGGGTTCGGGAACAACTTGTTGAGGCCAGGAACACCGCCTAGAAAGGTAAGTTAGATTTCTGATTAAAAAAATTTCGATTCAACAAATGCAGAAATGAAATTTTTCTTTTTTTATTTTTGATTCTAAGTATATTTTATTTCTTGTTGGCAAGTGGATTTATATGTGCATTTACCACCAGAAGATAGTCTATATGCTTATGCATGTGAATATCTGCCAGGCATATAGCCAACTTCATTTTTTTTTAATGACATGATCTTTTGTACACCTTATTTGTTTTGATATTATATTAGAAATATTGCATTGTTGATGTTTTGATTTATTCCATTTCAATTATTATCAGAGCTTTCTTTATTATTAAGTTAGGTTAATTGGCACTATTTTGTTTTTTTGCATTAAATTTTGTTAAACTAGTCTTTGCTACTTCAGTAACTATGTAATTTCTCATTGGAAGTTTATTTTAGCATTGCCTTTGTTTTCTCTTGCCATCAAGTTATATTAACCTTTTGTTTGTATCGTTATTTTTAATATGAACTCTACTTATGTTTAATTTCCCAAAACAGTTTTTAAGCTTTAGTTTTCAGTTTAGGCTAAAAGGAGATTCGGTTTTGCTATTTTTGGTTACTGATAGCTTTCTATCAGTTTCACTTCGAATTTTTGTTTTTATTTTTGTCTAAATTTAATATGGTCAAAGCTAAGACAGTCTAACTACTGTAAACTATTCTATAATATTTACAGTTGTCTTAAATGAGTAAAATCTATTTATTATACATCCGTTAAAGTTCTAGGCAAGGATAACAGAATTTATAATCTACTCCCTGATGAGCAAAAAATTAAATGCAATTATCAAGCATCATTTTTTTGCTCTCATATGACGTGTTATGCTCTTTATTGCATTCTAATGCTTGTGTAATAGAAGTGAATTTAATTTTATATGCAAGAAATGGTTTATCTGGAATAAGATAATTGTAGCAATCCATGTTCTATAAAATGTAGATTATTTAGATTAAATTTTTTCTTGGTTGACAAGGTTCCCCGAGAATTCTTTCAATTTTCTATCTTTATGGATGCAAGACCCCAACAAAAAATCCATTCCCTTTGTTGTCAGTGGAGTAGTGGTTGGTGGGAGGGTCTTGATTGACAAGAACATTGTTTTGGCTTGCTGTAAGTGTACTTGGTCAAATGCAGATGTGGTAGAGGTGGTTTTATAAATAATGAGGGATAAGTCAACTTTCTTTCTCTACTAATGGAACATTTGAAATGACTGCTTTGTTGCGGAGGAGGCTTGAATTCAATTCTTCCACCAGATCTTCTGAGTCTTCAGACAACTCTATTCAATGTCCTAATCATAACTTCTCTGGAGAAGTGAGAAACCCTTTAAGAGTCAAGTCTTTCCATATTTTTTTTTCAAGCGAGAATTCCTTATGAGGGTTTAGTGATGGCTATTGACAGTAGAGTGAGGGCATCAAAACACTGTTGAAATCCAATTTATGCTGCTTGGCTCCATGCGAAGAACAAATATGAGAGATGAGTATTCTGGCATAGTATGGAAAAATTACGACTTGATTGAAATCTTGACCGAATATATGGCACTGGTAAATTATAGAAGAGGTTATGAAATGATAATATTGAGAGAAGGTTAAGATTTATAGATATACTTTAATCCTACAAAATTGAAATAAAAATAATGGATGAGTTTCATGTCAAAAAGAATCGACTAGGACTTGAACCATTTTGACCTTGATGAGACATGCTCTCATCTTGGAGTAGAGGTGTAAACGAGTCGAGTCGAGCTCAAAGCACCATCACCTTGAATATGTGATTGATTAATTAATCGATTTTGAGATGGAACTCGAGCTTGATCTTAAGTCTGTGAGTTTGAGCTAGCTTTCAAGCCTTTTTTATTTTAAAAATGACAATTTAATATTAATTTAAGTTACTCTTATAATAACATGACAAATAGAATGAACAATTATGAGATAAATATTAAAAAATCACTTGACATAAAGTATACAATGTAAAATATAATTTTTTTTAATATTTTTAGTAGTTTAAATATAATTTTTTGAAATTTAATATATTTTGAGTGTATTTTATATTAATTTTTTTTTAAACAAGCCTGTTCACGGGCTAATGGGTTGAGTCTGGGTTGGCTTGAGCTTGACTTGTTTGCCCTTCGAGCCGAGCTTGAGCTGGCTCACGAGTTAGCTTGGCTCAGTTACACCCCTGCTTGGGATACCAGAACATAACTAAATAGTAAAGCAGTGTAATCCCTGACACTTCTTTATTCCTAAGTATTCAATTCAGCAATAAACATATTGTTTTGTCAATACTAGATCAAGAGAGATGAAAAAACTTGAGGTTAATTGCTTTTATATATTTGTGAAGGTTGACTTACAAGTCTAAGCCACCTTTTTTTTAATAGGTCCCTAACCTGCCTGCCCATTTCTATGCATCTTCCCTATAATTGAAAATTTGGATGAGGATGGATTGAATGCTAGTTCTTTATTTGGATTTTTTATTTATAAATAAACTCACATCAAGTGCCTTTACTTTGAATTTGCATTTACTTAATCTATATAAATATATGCTTTTTTCTTAATTATGCTATTTCTTTTAAGCTATTTTTATAAAGAACTTTTGAAGATTAAGCTGTTAAACCTAACTATACCATAATAAAGAAGCTTGAGGGACATGAAATGTCGATTCATTGGCAATAAATGAATTAAATTGAAGTGGATAGATTGGATGGGTGGATTTAACATTAACTCCATTTTTGACTGATGATTTGGTGGGAAATGAATGACTTGAAATAAAGAAAAATATTGTGAGGTTACAACTTATTATCTTCTTCAAAGCATACTTTGCTTGGTCCTTATTCATACCTATGTTTCAATTTCTAATGAAAACCTAAAATCTTTATTCTATATGCCGATTCTCTATGCTGTCTTTTTCTCATTTTTGACCATTTTGGCAACTCATAACTTTTTAGCTTGTGTAAAAACAACCCATATTTGTTTAGTTTAAGTTTTGATGTTGGGATGAGTTGGGTGATAAAATAATGACAAGCAATAAGAACCTTTGGATAAGAGCTTGCTTGGGGTAAACTTATTCCGGTGTTTTTGTCCTAATGTGATTTGAGCATTAGGAACAAAAGGACATCTTATGTTTGTTGCACATTATTCCTTTCATCGGTTGTTTGCCCACTGCACATGTGATGGATTTCTTAGGAAAGATTTGATTTTAATTCTTGTCTAGTTGAATCATCACACTTGATTAGGGCTTGATTTTAGATTGCGTTAAGTTTTCCTTTTAGGATTCAAAGCCTCAATCAATAGGTTTTTGCATTAGATTTTAATACTATGTACCTTAATTACATCCTATCAATGCTGTGAGTTGAGCATAGTTAACCTATAACCTTTGAAATTATTTGACTCATTTGATGACATATCATGGTTTTATCAAAAGACAATCAATGCACTTGTCCAGGTGCTTGTGCAAGGTGAGATGTAACACCACCTATCACATCTTAGGTGTGGGCCCCATCACTATTTTGTCTTTTAGGCATTAGGCATTAGGCATTTGAACGCTAACCTTAATGATGCAAATTTTTCTTTACTATTTTTAAGGCATGCACAATAATATCAGAGGGCTATAGATCTTGTGATCGGAAAAGAATGATAAAGAAGATGAAAAAAATACTAACAATTATCCAATTAACCTTTTACTATGAAATACCAACTTTAGGATTGATTTTATTGTTTAAACTTGAAACGTAACTTGAAGGTCTTATGGACACTTTATTTTATACATCTTACCTAACATGGTTTGTGATTTTCAAATTTGGAATGAAATAAAAGCCAACATTTCTTTTTTTCCTGCTACATATTAATAATTTTTTGTGACTCTAATATTTCCTATTTTTTTAGAATTTAAAATTTTTTAGCCTCTCATTTTACCATGATGAGGCCATAGGGTTGTGCCTAATGCCTTGGGCATTAGACAATATTTGCTTGCACCATAAATAACCCTAATAGTCCATCCATGTGATAATAGATAGGAGTTCTTAATAATGATTTATGAAGAATAAATTTGGCACGTCCAACAGCTGAATCCAATTAATCATAAATCTGGCCCACAAATAGGAGATCACTATTGTTGTTGATTATTTTTTTGTATACAACCTTGTTATGGCAATATAGGTTCATTTTCATCTCATATTTTGGAAATTATGAATGCTTGTAAAAGATAAGCGCTTCTCACTAATAGACTTATATTATTTAAATTATAAAAGATGAGATTGATTCCAAAGTGCAATTTCTTATTCTCTTAGGCAATGTTTGGTGAAGGGCTATACAACATCCAATGCTATTTTTTTTTTAATTTACATATGATCAAAGATGTACATAATTTAGAACCAGTACTTATTTTTTAGTCATAATGCTGTTGTATTAATCTTACATTTCATGTGATGTTTTGACATATTAACAAATGGGGGAAGATAACATGTTGTTGATCACACACTCTATTTTTTAAACTTTGCTTAAAAGGTTTAAATATAACATGTTGATCTGTTCAGTAATAGAAGTGTTCCTTTCTAGCTAAATCACCTTTTTACTCTATGATTTACCCCACAATTGGCGTTAATTGAATTCAATAGATAATTAAGACATTAATTATTAAATTGAATTTAATACACTGTAACTAATTAGCAAGTGAGCATGATTAACAATCAAAACTTAACAAGGTTCAAAATCATGATTGAGGGCTTACATAGTGTTTAAAGTCATAATCAAATAATGAATGTTTATTATAAGATCTAACTATTTATTTGGCTTGATTAACTTTGCTAGTTGGTCTGTTATATCTATTTTGCTAGATAAGGCCTTAATTTCCACAATTGAAACTTGTTAATGCACTAAAATGGTTCTATAAATTGCATATTTAAGTGTGTAGTCACCATAAGCAATCCTATGAAATAATTTAATGTGCTCTACTAAAGTTACCTAGCTAGTTAAAACATCTTAATTATCCCCTTTAAAATTTTA